TTTCTGCAATTGCATTACATGTAAAATTATAATAATAAAAAAAAAATCATAATACTGAAAAGGGAACTAATTCTTAAGGAAATTAAAAATTATATAAAGAAAATAATTGTAGAAGGAAATTAAAAACATAAACTGACAGTGAACAAAATGAAATTCCAAAATTCCATTGAATGTGTCGGGAGATGCCGAGGTGGTGGAGTTTGGCTTGTAGAAAAGAAGGATGAATATTAAGAACGGCCAAACTGGTGGGCAACAATGGAGATTTGGTAGGGGAGAGAGAAGGTATCTCAGGCGCAGAGGAAAAAAAAAAACCTTTTTTTCTTTTTCTTTTTCTTTTTTTTAACTTACCTTTCCACTTGAATGACCCGTTAAAAGAGACCCAATGATCCATGTTTATTTATTTTTTAAAATTTTAAATAGGTATCAACTCCCTATTAATCCAAATTTCATATAAGACAGGCATTGTCCAAAAAAAAGGAAAATAAAAAATTAAAAAAATAGATTACCTTATAAGGAGGAAGTTCCTCCTCATGAGTAAGATGATAAGTATTGTTATTTATGGAAATCAACACCATTGCCTTCAGAAGAGATAGGATTGGATTCAGTTACTACAACATGAAATCATCAACAGAAATGAACACAGGCTTGGTCCATGCAGTTAATGAAGGACTAGTAATTACTAAAACTGAGAGTGTTCAAATCCTCATCCTCTCTGCAACATTGGACAAGTTACAACTTACAAGTGACATTTGAAAGCAATGAAGAAGCCAAAATATTGTAACAAATTCTATGCCCCACACATCCATTTGAACTGTCATCAAATTACTATATAAACCCCCCCTTAGCCTCCCTACGACAAATCACTCTAAAGAGACAGCTCTTAGAATATACAAATAACCTCAAATTTTAAGTCTATTATCTGAAACAATCAATTGAAGATGAAGGGGGTGGTAATATCAGTGATGGTGGTGCTAGTCATGATTCAGTTGATGGCGGAGCCAGGACAGGCCATCAGTTGTGGCCAAGTCGACGCATCTTTGGCCCCGTGTGTGCCCTACCTCACTAGTGGTGGTAACCCTACACCAGAATGCTGCAATGGTGTGAAAAGCATCAAAGGGATGGCTGCAACTCCGACCGACAAACAAACAGCATGCAAGTGTGTTAAGGATGCTGCCAATCGCTACGCCAACTTAAAGGACGATGCAGCTCAAGCCCTCCCTGCAAAGTGCAACGTTCAAATGGACATCCCTATCTCCCGAACCACCAACTGCAACAAGTAAACTATTTTGTATTTGCACACACACACACACACACAAAGCTTTTCTATCATGAGTATTGTTCATGTAATCAAGTACTTAGCTGGCTTGTTGATGTCCATTCATTCTCTTTTCTTTGCAGCATCAACTAAGGTGGAAGGCATGATGCAAGAAATAAAAAGGAGGAGGTTTTGGGTGCCAGATCTTTTGACATCAGATCAAGTTGCATTATATTATATATGTTGTTGAAATAATACTGGTTTTGTTGATGGAGCTTAATTAGATTTGTAATTCGATCAGTATTAATCTTTATTGAGCTTCTTGTTATAATATATGGTGAATGCAAGATCATTGAATTAAATAAATAAATCAAGGTATCTGATAATTGGGCTAGCTACTTCCCACCTTATTCTATTTCAAATTTATGTTAAACCATCTATCTCTTGCAAATACGTAGTTAACCTGTAAATCCATGCTACTAAATGATAGCTAGAAATTAAGAGAAGCCAATTTGTAACTCAAACTGATGTCCTTTTGTGCTTCCAATTGATATGTTTCCTTTTATTTATTTATTTTTGAAAGGTAAAAATAAAATTAGAGGGGGAAAATTAAGTAGATTGTAATATAATAAATATATTGTTGGGAGAAAGCAAGTCTCACATTTAAAGTTTAAAGAGCTTTTCTTTTAAGTTAATAAAAGTGAAATAAACACTTTCTAATGTAGATTTGGGAAATAAATTAGAGGGGGGAAATAAAATTTTGACAATTGTTTTGACCAATGGTAATTCTGGTTAGGTTGCTTTTCGTTATCTTCGAAAGTGGGCATTCGCACCTCCTTTCCCATTAACTCTGAACATTCTGGCCATAAAATAATTAAAAAAAAAAAAAAAAAAAGGTGTGTGTCAGTAAATTTCAAAATTGTTTTGACCAATGGTAATTCTGGTTAGGTTGCTTTTCGTTGTCTTTAAAAGTCCGAAAAGGTGTGTGTGTCAGTAAAATTTTGAATTTTTCAAGTCACATGTACAAGTCATTTATGATATAATGTATGTTCCAAGAGCTTGGCTATTTCTGGCACTTCAAAACTAAGTCACACAATTTTTCTTAACGGGTGTCAATCTCAGGCTCTGAGTGTCCCCTCTTACGCTCCGTACACTCTTTGCCTCAAATTTTCACTATTTATGACTTAATTCTGCAGCTTTCACGCTCCCGCTACTGTTCCCGCTTTATGTGACTTAGCTGCAAGAAGCACTAATCCACTGAACTATCGAGGCAACTGCGAGTTATATCACATTAATCTACATGGACGACATTTTAGTAACAGATAGAGATCGAGAATGTATATTGGAAGCATCACAAACCTTATTCAGCAATTAGGTATCGATAGAATTATAAATAATTTACTGCGCCATGGAAATTCAATGAATTTCATGATCATTTTCATCACCCAAACTAAATATCATATACAAGACATTGATCTATTATCTGCCAATATGATGGGAGCTAAAAAATTTCTAACTGAACTCAATGGGTACGATTAAATAGAGAATAAATGGAGGTCAACTATTCCTCATCACTGATCATACAGGAGTCAAATATGTTTGTTTGATACTTGGAAAATGAGAAATTATTAAATGGTCCCGGATCAGGACTAAGATGAATATTGTTAGTTCTAGGTCCAATTACTAGTCAATACGTAAGTAAATGTGTATGCTTTAAGTAATATGTGTCCGTTTTATTCAACATTTTACTTATGTATCAATTAATGATTGGTTGAGACCAATGGTCCGGGATTATGTATAATTTATTGAAAAATGCTTTTACATTGAAGTTCAAAGATGGAATTAATTCTGTTTTTTTCTTTTTCTCTTTTTTTTTTTTTTTTTTTCTTTTTTTCTATTCATAATTAACATGATTGGATGAATAATGGGCTGTGTTAGTTGAAGGTAGAGTGTACATTACCTAGTGGCCTAATTGATAGAGTGCCCAGATTTTTAGTGTACCCGTGTTCGAGTCCCCATCTTTTTTGTCAAAAAAAAAAAAAAAAAAGTTGCAGGTAGAGAATTTGATGATATTCCTCATCAATACGGATGACAATGGGGTTTTGCCATCCCCTCGCGACTCTCTTTTTTTTTTCACAAGACTTAAGACAGGAAACGAAATAAGGATTAGGGTTTCCTCTTATGTGTATATATATACTTAACCTATTTTAATAATATATCATAGTATGTATGGATAATTTAATAAATTTATAATATATTCAGAGCAGGGGTGGGGTAACCCTCCATCGAAAGTTTTCCAAAATCCGCCGGATTTGTCAAAGTAGCCTCCATCCCCGTCCTCATTTACTTGATCAGTTTCTCAAATTTTTCCCAAATGGAACAGAACGAGATGGGACGGCTTCCACCAGGGTGGAGATTTTTACCATCGATCCTTACTCATCGAGTACGAATAGCCCATTGAGTGCACGCTTCTTTTTTTTTCTTTTTTTAATCTTCATCACAAATTAAGAGAAGATGAAGAAAGCTATCCATGTCATTGTGTGATGGCCGCCTCACTAATGTTGTTTATGATCATCATGAAAAATTCAAATTTATGCTATTTCCCACCTTATTCTATTTCAAATTTATGTTAAACCATCTATCTCTTGCAAATACGTAGTTAACCTGCAAATCCATGCTACTAAATGATAGCTAGAAATTAAGAGAATGCCCATTTAACTCAAACTGATGTCCTTTTGTGCTTCCAATTGATATGTTTCACCTGCCAATATGATGGGAGCTAAAAAATTCCTAATTGCTATCCATGTCATTGCGCGGTAAATTATTTATATATATATAACATTTATGTTTTGCCAAATCAAAAAAATTTAATATGGCATCAAGCCACAAACTCTTACTCTTTTGTTTAAAAAGAAAAAAGATAAGGTTAGTCTACTATTGAATGATCTTTCTGTCCCTAGCAAACAAGGTAGGATGTGTGATTTGCACTCACAAACAACCCCCTCTCTCCCGGTTTGGAATAAAGACATGTAGATACAATATAGAAGGGTGTGATTCAATTATCCCTTAAGTATGCAAACTTGAACACCACCACCCCCAATCATGATACGAGTGTGTAATTGCTCTTTGACTTCTTAATTGACCCATTTAAATCATTAAAGTACAATATTAAACTTTATAAGCCTTTTTATTTAATCTTTAAAAGTCTTTTTATAAGACTTTTGATGTGTCATGATATTATTGGATCACATTACTAGGCTTGATATCAATGGAATCCACCTAAAAAAAATATAGATTATTTTTCATTCCAATTTTATTTACTTTTTAATGTTATAAAGGGATACGTCCATCAATGACATCATGACACATGGTATAAGGGATAAATTCATCCACATGAACGAGGATGACAAGTATTGTTATCCATGGAAAGCAACACCATTGCCTTAGAAGAGATAGAATTGAATTCAGCTACTATTACATGAAATCATCAACAGAAATCAACACATTGCTTGCAAATGATTGACTAGAAAAACTGAAAGAGCAACAGAAATCATCAAAACCTCATCCTCTGCAATATTGGACAAGTTACAAGTGACATTAGAAAGCAATGAAACAGCCAAAATAATGTAACAAATCCTCTTATATCTATGACCCACATATCCATTTCAAACTGTCCACAAAGTCCTACATATACCCCCCTTGATCAACCTCCCTATTACAAATCAATATATATATACACCTCAAACTTAAAGTCTAGTATCCAATACAAGCAATTGAAGATGAAGAGGCTGGCCATATCAGTGGTGGTGGTGCTAGTCATGATTCAGTACATGGCAAGGCCAGGACAAGCCATCAGTTGTGGCCAAGTCGACGCATCTTTGGCCCCGTGTGTGCCCTACCTCACTAGTGGTGGTAACCCTACACCAGAATGCTGCAATGGTGTGAAAAGCATCAAAGGGATGGCTGCAACTCCGACCGACAAACAAACAGCATGCAAGTGTGTAAAGGATGCTGCCAATCGCTACTCCAACTTAAAGGATGATGCAGCTCAAGCCCTCCCTGCAAAGTGCAACGTTCAAATGGACATCCCTATCTCCCGAACCACCAACTGCAACAAGTAAGCCATTTTGTATTTTCACATATGTGTGTGTGTGTGTGTGTAAAAAGCTTTGATATGTTATTGTTCACTGTAAGTATGTAGTTTGTTGATGTTTGTTCATGTTGTTTTCTTCACAGTATCAACTAAGGTGGAAGGCATCAAGCAAGAAATAAAGAGAGGGAGGGTGCCAGAATCTTCTTTTATCAAATATTGTTGTTGAAATAAATGAAGCCTAGCTTTGTAATTCAGTAATCTTTATCGAGCTTCTTGTTACAGTAATATATGGTGAATGCAAGATCATCGAATTAAATACATAAAGGTTTTAATTTTAACACTATATAAAAAGATATTGAGTTTGACATGTGTGTGTGTGTTATAAGTAAGGTGTAAATCCATTTTACATTTGATAATCCAACTGAATATTTAATTCTGAACATCTGGTAAATAACTTTTAAGTGACAGGGATTCATTTAATCCAAATACCGAACCCTTGCAGGTTTTTAAAAAATATCCGAAAAATCTCGACTCTTATTTAATTTACCACTTAAAATTAAGTTTTAATAAACACAAATACTAAACACAACCTGCAAAGAGGAGATTCTCTGAAGATTGAAGAACACAAATCATGACATCGATCCGCAGTAAACTATATGCAAGTTTCATTTATAACACGCCCATTACAGACATGTATCCAGTTCAACTGGTCAGATGAATTTCATTTCCAGAAATGAATCATCATCTACCCTGCATGAATTTCATTCCGAGAAATAAACCATTTACCCTGCTCAATCCCTCTCAAACCCTAGTACACTATTATTGCAACATAGCTTTACCAAGGACTGTAAACACCTTCAAGATTGCCTCCACATAGCCTCTTCTCCATCCAATCTATAATATCCTGAGCAATTTCTTCACGCTCGGGCTCGAAGAGAAGGTCGTGCAAGAAGCCGTCATAGAGCTTTATGTCCTTAAACGTGGAGGCCGCTTCAGTGAACAGATCCTGGGAAGCAAGTGGATCAGTGACTTTATCGGCAGTTCCATGAAGGACAAAGAATGGGACTGTGACGGACTTTAAATTCCGCATCAAGTGAGAGGATATGCGCAAGATCTCGTGACCTGTTCGGACCCTCATTGGCCCAGTGTAGACCAATGGGTCAGAATACTTGGCCAAGAGTGCTGCAGGATCCCTTGAAACTGGAATGCCCCTTTTGTTGGCACCTTTGAATTGGTACTTCGGAACAACCAGTGAAAATAAAGGAGCCACAGCCTGCATAAAGACGTCAAAAAGTTGTTACAACGTCTAGAAATAGATTCATATTGTATTTTTGTCATATTGATTTTAACCATTGGAAAATTTGCCAAAACGAAGAGGAGACCAACCGAGATATTTTCCAAATGGTCACCCTTTTTCTTGAGATTCAAATTGACCAGTGTTCATATTTTAAGCAACACTTTTACCTCCATCGACATAAAATCCTACAACCAACTTGTTACTAAACCTAATACGGAGCCAAACACGAGGAAAGTATCCACATAGTTTAAGCTCTAATTTTGAAGAGCTTGCCTTGTAAAATTGAACAAATTGTTTCTTTTTCTTCTGGAAAGTAAAAGTGAACATATTGTTGTTTGCTGGTTTCAACCACCCACTTAAAAGGTAGCATGTAGTTGGCTTTAAGGTCATAGTACTAAATTTGTTGTTTAGTGTTTGATATGACACTTAACAATCTGTCCAATTACTTGGGTCTTAAAAGTATTGGTTGCTCGAATTTTAACATTTACCATAGGACATGCAAGTGTGCAGCCAGCACGTGTGGGAAGACTGACCAACCTTAATGGAACAAATTGATGATACAAGGGCTCAATTACACTCTCTATAAGGTAGTAATCTTCTTAAGCAGATGGTTATTAGCAAGTTTAACAATCTTCCAATAAAAAGAGTGCAACTTTGGACTTTGGAGAATGCTTCAGCATCTCAAAACTACCATCTTTAATACTCTGTCTTGAACACGGGAATAACTAGGAAAAGGAAAGGAAAATGCTCAAAAAAAATGCTTTCTCAAGCATTTCCTTCTCCAGAATCCTTCAGGAATCCAAACAGAGCCTAACAGCCTTTAGAAAATGTTGTGAATGCAAATTATGAGTTAAGAAAGACTTACGCCAACTATTGGATGTGCTGGTTTAACACGCAAAGCTGGTGAAGTTAGTACTATTCCCTCCAACATTTCTTCAATGTGTGGAAATGAAGCTGCCTATAGAAAGGAGCAGTTATCAATTTAAAAGTGTAACCAGAATTCTATTGAACTCAGCTTAGTATCAATATGTAATAAACTGTTTTACCTTTAAAACAACAGCCCCTCCAGTTGAATGACCAAAGAGGAAACATGGTATCCCAGGGTTTTCCGCTTTGATCATTTCTAAGAAAGCCCCCTGTTGACATGGAAAAACACAGCATATCAAACTACAAGAAATCAACCATCTTTAATTGGCTTATTAATATATTCATAAAAAAATCCAAGTATTAGGCTATTGTCAGAACAAGGGATCAAGATAATAAAACAAAGTGACAGTACGCAGCCCAAGGAAAAGGGGTCGTTGTTAGGATGGAGTTGAAAAGAGAGATATAAGTTGAGGTTATGGCAGAAAAATATTGGCTTATTATTGAAAAAAGTATAGCCTAGATAGCGCGGGAAAGAAAGATCAAATTTTTTAACCAAAATATATAGTTAGGGACAAAATTTTCCTGTGTTTTATTGAGCCTGTGGCAGAAGGAGCAAGATATGAAAATGTCAACATAATCAAGAAAAAGAAAATGTCAACAATGAACTTACAGTGTCTGCCACAACATGATCAAGTGAAGGCACATATCCATGTAATCCGTCGCTTCCACCATGACCTATAAAAAGGACAACATACCTCAATAAACCCGTACCTACCTGGTATTATTAGATACCTTCAAATAATAATAATAAATATGAACAGGTCTGACTTATATGACAACTGAGAACTCCCTTAATGCATAGCTCTTAATTTTAGAATCTAATCTCAACTTAGCACACTTAAAAACATCAATACAATAATGAAAGAACAGAAACTGAAATAACCGTAGAATGTAGCTACCAATCCAGTCCATTGCATAGACCCCAAAGTTGCACGAGGTTAGTTGCTTTGCAAAATGAGAATATCGTCCACTGCAAAATGAACATCACAACAGAAAAGCAAGGCTGTTATTTAAAATTATAAGATAGTAAATTTAGCTTCACATATTAGTGGTCATAACTAGAATGCTGCAAATTTAAATTTTAATAGTTCAGCATTTACCCCATGTAAATGATAGAAACAAATTATAAGCTCAGAAAGACATTGAGAAATTCAAGTTTGTGCCATCCAATGTTACCTGTGCTCATTAAGCCCATGTATAATAATCATGATACCCCTGAAATTACAAAAACAAATGCACATTATGTCCTAGTAAGAAGAGTCAAAAAAAAGTACTGTATATGGTCTAGATACATGGAATGATAACCATAAAAAATAAGAACCAAGCTGCACCAAAGCCCTTAATCCTATCTTCCACTATAAATCATGATTTGCCAAAAATTTAGTAAAAGAAATAAGACTTTGTTACACAGGAAAACAATTTAAAACATGATGATTTGCAAATTATCTCCGGAATCCGGGTCACCAAAAGTACCCCAAATTGAACATGTCTTCATGTCAATGTCAAAACAGCAAGCACATATAACCCAAACATGGGAACTGATAATACATACAGAAACAAGTACAGAAGAAATGTTTAGGGTCAAGCATTTTGTATGCCCTCATATTTTTCCTAATATCCTAAACCGATATTTTTTGCAGCATCCTCTTTTCCATGTAATGCCTCAACTTATATATTATAACTCCTTATACGTGCAATAATTGGTATTGTAGCAAATGATCTAACAATCTTAATTAATTTATATATTATATTGTACTCAAATTGTCCCAAAACTCTAGTATTCCACACATCTAGCCGAATGACTCATTTGGGTCAAACTAAATAAATGGTAAGCAGCACAACTCCCTTTTCCTAACCAAAATGTCCTAATCAAGAAATCTCCAACAATTTTGAGACATCCAATTAAGTGAAACAAAAAAACCCAAGCCAACCTAGTATAGGCAATTGAGGGATATTAAGTTATAAATAATTTGAACAAACTTCACCACTTGAAAGGCCAAGTACTAATTTCTTTCCAGAACCTAAAAAAAAAAAAGGAACTAGATTACCACTCATACCAAACTCATATATACCATATATTGCAATTTTTATCTGCACATGGTAGAATACCGGTCCAATTCCACACGTGGGTGACCATGTTTTCTTGAAGTTGACTTCAAGACTGACAGTCTTACACACTGAATATTTTAAGCTATAATTCTAATATAGACCACATGCTTTGATCGGATTTATGAGAAAATGTGAAAGCTTGGGAAAGAGAAATTGAACAACTACCATGTAAAACTAAGTATTAAAGAAAAGATACTGGGTTTATTTTGAGTCAATAATTACTTAATAAGAAGATTGAAGGAAAGATATAAAGAAAGGTCTACATCTGGTATTTATAGATGCGGAGAAAGTATATGATAGGATCCTCGGAGTTTAATATGGTAGATTTTAGAAGAAAAAATAAATAAAGTAACAAATAGATATATTAGCATGATAAAGGACATGTATGATGGAACCATAAACATAGTTAGAACAGTTGTCAGAAAAACAAGTTAATTTCCAAAATAGAGTAGGTTTATCGAGGTCATTAGTTATTGATGTAATGATAAAACACATTAAACACGAGGATTCAGGGTGTATGCTAGATGTGGACTATATTACTTTAAAAAATGAAACTACGGTATCGATGAATGTTATATTGAAGGTCCAAAGAATTTCTAGAATCACAAGGGTTTACGTGGGGATACAGTGAAAATTATGGATTAAGAGTATACTTGGAATAATAAAAAATAAAAAGAAGAAGAAGGTGAATATTTTGTAAGCTAGACTTGATTATTCACAAAACAAGTGTTAGGTGGATTAAAAAACAAAGCATTCATAAAATAAGTGGTCGAAATAAAAATGTTTCAGGACAAGAAAGAATAATATTAGAAATGAATACTTTGGTTAGAAGATTGAAGTAATATTTATTGGAAATAAAATGAAAAAAAGAAAAATGTTAAGATGGTTTAACCATATGTAGCAGAGACCAAAAACGTTGCACCAATAAAGGACGAGTGACTGGTGCACATTGCGGGCATTTCTAGAGCGTGGAAATACCACAACTAACATGAGTTGAGATAATAAGAAATAATTATAGATAACAGCATGTGATTTGACAAGAGCCACACAACTAGAGAAGATGTAGAAGTGTAGAACCCTTGATTGAGCTAAGCAAATACTAACCAACAAGGACTACCTACAAGGACAGCAAAACAATCCAGCTTGGAAGTAAGGTTATATAACCTCAAATAGAGCAGAACTGCAAAACTGATTTCATGTAGTTCATCGCAAATGGTTTGAAAGAGGTAAGATGTAAAACTCTCAATTGAGATTAGCAAACACTATCCAACAAGGACAGTAAAACAAAATCCAGCTTGAAAGTGAGGTTGTAACCTCAAATAGAGCAGAAACTATGAAACTGATTTCATGTAGTTGATCGCAAATAGTTTGAAAGAGGTTTTGTTGAGTAAAGTTTAATTTATTCTCTGTCAAACGGAACACAACTTGAGTTAACTTCAATCATTCCACTTTCAAGGTAAGATTCAGATCAAAGCTCCATCATCATCTCAAAAACCTAAAACTATCTAGAAATTATCACAAACATACACAAGCCAGATCTAAGTTCCCTCGCTCCAATAATAGTATAATTAAGGAGCAACTTCCCCAACTAAATTGTAAAGAACACACTCAAATAATAACATTTGAAAAGAGAACAAAAATATTAGAAAGTTTTTCGGTTCCACAAACACCATCCTGTACTAAAGGCCTTTCTCAAGTGGGCTTGTTCATCAGGCAACTGTCGAAATCTATGTAGAATACCATTAAAATCTAGTAAAAAACAATAAATTATCAAGGAATAGAATATGGAACATTATGGAAACTACTTAGAATCAGATGCTAGGACATGGAGAAATTAAAAGTTAAGACAAGCAGACAGCACAAATTGCCCATAAATGAAGTTACCCCAAGGCAATAGGAACTTCAATATGAGCATTTTAACTCTACATTGGGTTAGAATCATATCATCATCATCACGTAGACCACTTGGAAGAAACCTTCAAACTCGATCACAAAATGATAATACAAAAATTATAGATGTGATATGCTTCTGATTAGTGAAAAGCGTGAAGTAATGAGAAAAATTATCGACCTTAAAGAGTTTCAATTATTAGTCTTCTATCAATTAAGCCTATTTCCATAATTCGGAGAAGTTATATCAATTTGGAAACTAAATACAACACAAACACAAAAATCCTCAATTTATTCAGGAACCAAACAAATAGCAAAAGAAACCGTAAAATGAACAAGCAAATGATAAATTTCAGTGACCAATTATCAATCATTCTCAGATTCACCCATTAAAACCCTAAAGGACCTAAAATGAACAGACAATTACATAAACTAATTCAAAGCCCTTACTTCATTTCACCGTTGACCGGGAACCACGACCGGCAGAACAAAGCGTTGCGCTTAACTCCAATGAACAGCGACGTGCTCCATTGGCACACGCTGGTCCCGTCATCGGTCTCCACCACCATTTCCAAACCCTCGGCCAGAGCTCTCCGCCGCAGAGTGTCCTCTTCATCTCTCCTGAAAGCGAATTTCCGCTTCGACGACGCCACAGACGCCGCGGAAGACGGCGACGGCGGCTGAGACGTCGACGAATTGAGGCGGTTACGAGGCAGGAGAAGAAGGAACCAGAGGAAAATCGATTGGATGAAGATGAGAGATCGACGGAACGACTCGTATGACAGTACGGACCGCCGTAGGTTCGTGAAGACCGGTATGATACGGCTGCTCGCACCGGATGTTAGCTCTTCCATCTGCACCGTCGCCATGGGCGGAGATGGAAGAGAGAGAAATAAATAGATATAGAGAGAGAAAGTGAGAGAGAAAAGAGGAAGAATATAATATTATCACATATAGATACAGAGAGAGAGAGGGGGGGTTTACTCGTTTAATGGGCATTAATATAAGGGTTGTTGATTTTTTAAATAGAGAGAGGGATGAGATGTGACGCAATAAATTGAATTGAAACAATACGTTATTACGTGGCGTGTTATGATTTGATGATGAGGTAACGAATTGGTCTTTGCTTGCTGTAGAGGATTGAATTTCAGATCACGACCGTGAAATAGACATGTGTGGTCATCGTGATTGACGTGAGAGATGAAGTGTGTGGAAATCGTTTTTGTATGTGAGTTACATATAGGGATTAGCCTAACAGCTCGGCTTGAGTTGTGGCTTCACAGCGGAAAAAATTTAAAATGCTCAGCTTAATTTCGTGATTGCATGCAATCCAAATTTATAAAAAAAATTAATCAGAAAAAATGGCAAAAGTTGAATCATAACTTACAATTAAATTTTGAATTCCTAGCTGTAGTAAGCAAAATATATATATTTTCATTTAAAATCGTTCATAGTTCATACTTCGATTTTAATAATTTTTTTTGATGAATATTTACATTTTAATTATTATCATGCTAATATATATATATTTTTAAAATCAAGTTAAAGTATATTTATAAAATTTCTAATTTGGAAAGAAAAGTAGAAAATGAAAGCTAACAAGCTCAATCTTAGATTTTTTTTAAATGTTAAACATCACAAATTATTGTATTACCAAAATAACTTGAAATGTTATTAAAAAATAAATAAATAACTTAATTTACATAGTAGATGATATGGCAACTTTTAAGTGGATGATATGGCAACTTAATTTTGTGCATTCTAAAAGAAACTTTGTCGAGAAAATATATGGTAAGATTAGGGATGACAATTTGTATGGCTTTGCCGGAGCCCCGTCTCATCCCGCCCCCTAATGGCACTAGTACGGGAGCCGTTTATGTGCAGTATGGCCAAGTATATATTTAGATAATTTAAACCCATCACGGGTTATAGTGAGGCTATGAGTTTCGAGAAACATCCACCCACACCACACTGCCCCCCTCTTTATACTTAATTTTTAAAAATATATATATATATATATATAAAAATTTGTATATATATGTGTCTTAGATGTACTTACATTATTGTGTTCATATATATATATTTATATAGATAAAAAAAAAAAAAAAATGAAAAAAGGGCATACATGGGTACACTCATCTCTTAATAGTGCGGGTATGGATTGTGAAATTAAAACCCGTCACGAGTATATATGGGGTAGGTATGAATTTGTCTATAATTAAACAGGGCATGTACGAATTCAGGCAAACTCACTCCATGCCCACCCCCTTGCCATTCCTAGGTAAGACAGAGAGAAAATATAGGGAAAAATTATTTATGATAAAATCAAAACCCCGAAATAACTCTTTAGAAACGTTTTAAGGGTTAACTCTTTCTCATCAATAAGAACCTAATTTTATGAACTAATTCTTTTGCGTAAAAAAAATAGATAAATATATAATTCACTTTAAGCTTTTAAAATTATATTTTGAACCATCTTTCTCTTAATTAAATAAGAATCCTAATTTTCTCAACGATCTACATGTGTAAATAATTTGATAAATAAATAATCAAATTTATGTTTATCATAATTATAAAATCAAGAATGCAGAAGAGAATATATATATATATATATATATATATATATATATATATAAGTAGAGAAAAGAAAATTAAAGTGAGACACCTAATTTAATGTTCGTTCTTCTTCAATGGGTAATTCACACAAATATGTATATACATATATGATCAAAATCATTTACTTATATTTGAATTTGCTTTTTTTTTTTTTTAATTTAACTATAACTTAAATATGTGAATACTTCAACAACAAGAAAAAAAAATATAATATCTATTAAAATTGAGGATATATTACCAACAGATTGGTGTCCTGAGGTATCAAATTCTTATATTTTCCAAAAATGATGTCAAAGTTTCAAGTTTCAGTGGAAGTATGTGTATGAATTTTATTGAAGACGTATAGCATTGATGCTAGATTATTGGGCTAAGATGTTAATTAATGACAATCTTAGAAAATTTGTCATCAACCTATATCCAAGAGGCCAATATATTGTGAAGTTTAAAGAGAGGAGGAGGGAATGTGTGTTGTGCCTTTTGGGACATGTACAAGGGTTTATGTTAAAAATTTAGTGGGGTGTTTATAGTAATTTGACAAAATTCAAAGAATGCCGTATAAATAAATAAATAAATAAGATTTCAGTGACACCATTTTAGAATTTTGACAAAAATTTAGTACGATATATAAATAAATAAATAAATATAAATTCATTGGGGGTGGCTGACTCCACTCCACCCTTAATGGTTCCGTGCTAAATATAAATTCATTAGTTTTGTTGACAAATATTTTTTGTACTAACCAACCTCTAACCTAATGGTATAACTCTCTTAACAAAACGAGGGAGGTAAAGTAAAAAATTTTATGCATCGAATTGTGACCAACTTACATTAGACTGTCCGTAAAGAAATGTAATGTCAAAGGAAAGAAAAGTTAATGATCAAGAATCAACTTGATGGTTGATATATATTTGAACAAAATTTAGGTATGAAATGAGATCAACACAAATTATGTCTGCGTCAACTACTTAGAACTTAATGTGAACATTATTACATTGAAAAAATTATTCAATATTCTCGGAGCATCGAGAGAGTCGTACCTAGGTCAATATTAATTTGCTATTTTCTACATTTAAAAAAGAAATAAAGTATTTTCAGTAATTGAAAGTACTACATGACACCAAAGATATTAAATATACATACATTTCGTACGTTGGTCTTAGTCATTATATGGGTGGCGAGACAAGGTCATAAAAGGTTGGCTGGCAAATAAGAGAAGCAAATTAAGTTGCTAATGGTTTTGACGAATTAATTATCATGATATAATTGACCTCAACTATACATATCTATATCTATATATATAATTTGGAGTACACATATAAACACAAACACAGTTCTAAGTATGAGAGGCTTCCATGAAACATGAAGTGGTTTCTGTGTAGTCGATTGGGAAACCCTCGGGAAGCTACATGCACGTGCTTAAAGTCAATAATGTAATGATCCATCAAAACATCAAATTAACAAGGATTTAATAAATATAAATTTTTTGGCGGTGGAATGGTAAACGTTTGAGTTATCAAAATGTTTGTTTAATTATGTAGACAATCACTTCATGTAAATTATATGAAACTATGTACCGTACCTACTACGTTCCAATTCCGTATTCCATAGATTTAGTTTCAATTCACCTAGAATTGAAGTCGATATAATATGAATACAATAAGTTAATTTTTTTCAAGAAAAATAATTATAAGATATTAATACAGTTTGAAGATTCTGAACAAGACCAAATATAAACATACATAAAATTTCTTTTATATGTATGTATGTATATATATATATATTGAATAAAATAGTTATAGAATTTTTATATTTATTAGTGTACTTCCTCGGTATCATATTAGTTATTTATTTTTGAAAGTATAATTTTTTAAAAGAACATGTAATTATTGCATTGTTTTTTTTTTAAATTATCAAGTTGTTCTTTAAATTTTAAATATATGTATTGTTAAGTTATAGAGTTTTTTTTTTTGAAAAAGATATAGAGTAATTAAGGAAAGATAGTTTTAATTTGTTTTGAAATTGGACAGGGTGATTGAGAAGATGGTATCAAAATATATTGCATGTGCTATTGTTCTCGTAGGCTCATACAATGTCATTATGATAATATTTTTGTCATTGTGAAAATGTGTCATCCTATGATGTGACATGTGTAAGTGTCACTACGTTTTTTTTGTTTTTGTTTTTTTTTTAAAAAAAAAAAAAAAAAAAAAAAGCCCTATCTAATAACACTTTTACTTTCTAATTTTTACTATCAATTTTTAAAATTATAAAGTAAAAATATAATATAATTTTACTTTTTATCTGTTAGAAAGTATTTTCAGATTTAATAAAGGAAAGAGAAAGTAAGAATTTGTTACTTTTCCTACTTTCTAAACTGTTTACAAGAAGCGTTTTCTCTGCTGTAGCGTTATTATAAAAAAAAAAAAAAAAAACCCTCCAAAATTATTATCGCCAATCGGTCCAACGCTGCGTCCCCGACCATGGCCGCCGGCCTATCGCCGCCATCACCTCCTCCCCACCATAGCCACTGTCACAACCATCTCTCTCCTCTCTCATAAGTTTTGTGAGGTCAGATCTTGAAATCCCAATAGATGGAATGAAGAAAGAGAGACTTTGGGATGAACTCCAGAGAATTCCAGCAAAAGGGGTGATCGGAGGGCTCGCCGGAAACTTGCTGAAAGTTGCAGAGATCCGGAAAAAATAAATAAATAAATAAAATAAAATGAGAGAGTGACTTTGGGATAAACTCCAGAGAATTCCAGCTAAACCGTGGCCGGAAGCGGTGATCGGAGGGCTCGCCGGAATCTGCAAAAACTCGCCGGAAGTTGCAGAGATCCGGAAAAAAAATAAAAAAAAAATAAAATAAAATGAGAGAGAGAGACTTTGGGATGAACTCCAGAGAATTACAGTTAAACCGTGGTCGGAATTGGTGATCGGAGGGCTCGCCGGAATCTGCAGAAACTCGCCGGAAGTTGCAGAGATCTGGGAAAAAATATAATAAAATGAGAGAGAGATAGCAGGGAAAGCAAAATTAAAATTAAGGGGAGGTGAGAGAGACAGAACCAAGTTTTGGTGTCTTGTGGGGTGGGGTGGGGTGAGGTGAGAGAGAGAGACGGAAGTGGAGAGCGATGAGAGAGACTGAGATGTGGTTGGGGTGAGGTGGCTCTGCGATGAGTGGGGCGATGACAGAGACTGATGATATATATATATATATATATATATATATAGTATATTTCATATAAAGCAAAATTATAATTATAATTATTAAACTTAGTTTCTAAATTTTTTATTTTGAAAAATATAAAAAGTTAGGAAACATAATTTTAGTTTATATTTCATTTTTAGAAATGAAAAATATGATTTTATTTTTGAAGAAAGTAAA